CTGGGCAGGGGTGCGGATACCGGGCCCGGGCAGGGGTGCGGCGGCCCGGGGTGGGCTCTGTCAGCGGCCCCGGAGGCGGAGTCAGGACACCGAGCTCACACTTGGGAGGTTTTCTTCTGTCGCTCACAGGACTTGAACTCAGGGCCTGGGCGCTGTCCCGAGCTGTTTTGCTCAAGGCCAGCGCCCGAGCACTGGGAGCCAGGCGCCACTTCCGGCTTTCTAGTGGTTTTATTGTCTCTCGGCCTCTGCTGCCGGGCTGGCTTCGAACCTCGATCCTCGGATCTCAGCTCCAGAGGAGCCGGGGTGACACCGCCGTGGCCGCTGCCCACACGCTGGCTTCATTTATGTTGTGCTCCAGCGCTCGAGCCGCGCCTCCGCCTCCGGCTTTGGGCTGCGGGGCGCTGGGCTGACTCGGTGCGGGCGCCCGGAGGGGGTGGGCAGGCCTTGAACCCTTCCAGGCCCCCAAAACCGCCCTGGGAAAAACTCAGCTGTCCTTGAGCCCCCAAGTCTGCTTGTGCCCATAAAAGGGTCCCCACAGACGGGGGGGGGGGCATCAGTGGGTTGGGGTCCCCGCTGCTGCCCGCGCGGGGCCCTGGGGGGGCGGAGGCCGCTGGCTTCCGGAAGTTGGAAGTAGCACTTAACGGCCAGGGGCCTGAGCCGGCTTCCTCTTGAGTAACTGGCTGCCGAGAAGGCGCAGGGGTGGGGGCCGGCTCCCCCCTGCCCCCCTCCCCGCTGCGAAAAGGGGGTGCCTGGGACCGGGCTTCAGTTCCCTACAGAAAATGCAGCAGACTGGTGAATGGATTGAATGTTTACTGAGCGCAGGGCCGGCCGCTCCTGAGCTGGTCACTCCAGGCTGCTGCTCTACCCCTTGAGCCGCAGCACCACTTGCGACATTTGCCATTGGAGATAAAGAGACACACTTTCCTGCCCAGGTTGGCCTTGAACCCTGATCCTCTCAGATTTCAGCCTCCAAAATAGCTGGGATGACAGGTATGAGCCGCTGGTACTTGGCTGGCTTGTCTTTTATTTTTGTCAGTCCTGGGTCTTGAACTCTGGGCCTGGGCGCTGTCCCTCAGCTCTTCAGCTCAAGGCTAGCGCTCTACAACTTGAGCCACAGCGCCACTTCCAGCTTTTTTCTTTTTGCTTATGTGGTGCTGAGGAATCGAACCCAGGGCCTCAGGCATGCAAGGCAAGCGCTCTACCACTGAGCCACCTTCCCAGCCCTGGCTTGTGTTTCAGTGTTAGGACAATGCACACCCTCAGACCCCAAATCCACCAGTCCACCTGAGGGTGCAGCCCAGCCTGGGGGGATTCCCGGGTGCAGACCTGCCGGCCACGGGGCAGGGCTCCAGCGGGAGGGGCTCCTGGCCTCAGCCCTTGGCACCCCTCCTCCCATCCAGGGTGGGGCTGCAGGCTCCGAGGGGGCTGGACCCCTGTTCCTGCTGAACTGAGCCAGTGCGATCAAACCAACTGTGTTTCAGCTCAGTAGGCACGGGAGGCAAAGCCCGGGGAGGCTGAGCCCCGGAGGCCCAGCGGGAGGAGGCTGGCCTGCGGCCGGGCCGGCAGTGGAGGAGGTGGCCCAGGGGGGCGGAACTTAGCCACTGTGAACATCACGGTAGAAACCCTGCTCACAAGTGGCTAAGCCCTGCTCCTCCAGCCACAGAGCGCAGGCTGGGGGGGGGACTTCTGGGGGCTCCCGCCGCCCAGGCCGGGGTGCAGGTCATCTCCACCACAGCGATGGCCCCGGAGGCGAAGCTCAGGGTCAGTTGGAAATCCCTGGCAATGTGATTTGTGATTTAGCTGCAAATCCCATCCCCAGGAACCCCAGCTGGCCGAGGCACGGAGGGGGGGCCGGGAGCACCGCAGACCCAGGGAGCACCACACGCGCCACCTGGAGAGGAGGGAACAAAGGAGGTGATGAGACGTGAGGAGTTCGATAGCCCAGACACCCCCCCCCCCCCCGCACGCTGCCCTCAGCCGTCAGCTAGGAAAGCTGACTCAAAGCCAGGCATCCCTGCAGGACTCACGCCTGGCGTCCGGCTACGCAGGGAGGCTGAGATCTGAGGATCTTGGTGCAAAGCCAGCCTGGGCCGGAAAGTCCAGACATGTATCTCCCATAAACCCCCAGAAAGCTGAGAGAAGAGTTGTGGCTCAAGGGTCAGAGCACCAGCCTTGAGCCAATCACAGCACCGGGATACAGCACGCAGGCGCACCAGGTTCAAGTCCCAAGACCAGTGTCAAAAAAAAGTAAGAGCCGGGCGCTGGTGGCTCCCACCTGTCATCCCAGCTACTCAGGAGGCTGAGATCTGAGGATCGAGGTTCAAAGCCAGCCCAGGCAGGAAAGTCCATGAACCACCAGAAAAATGGAAGTGGTGCTGTGGCTCAAGTGGTAGAGTGCTGGCCTTGAGCTGAAGAGCTGAGGGACAGCGCCCAGGCCCAGAGTTCAAGCCCTACGACCGACAAAAAAAAAAAAAAAAGAAAGAAGGAAAAGAAAAGAAAGAAAGGAAGGAAGGAAGGAGGAAGATCTGGGTCCCTGAACCCCAGAGAGAGCCACAGCCTCATCCCAGAGAGGCAGAGGAGCTCTGTCCCCCCACTAAAATAAGACAGGGACAGGACTGTGTAGAAGAGCACTCGCTTAGCATGGGCAAGGCCCTGGCTTCCATCCCCAGCACCCCCATGGGTGTTCGTAAATCCACTTTCCAGCCATCTCATCCTTCTTCCCATCCTCCACCCCTGTCCCCTCCCTCCCCGCCCTGCGCCCTGGGCAGACCAACTGGGGCTACAGGGAGAGGAAGCCGGGGAGGGGGGGCAGGCGGGGAAGGAAGTGATATCACCCCAGCTGGCCCCACTTCCTAAAAGCCTGAAGGGCAGGAGGAAATCACCAGGACCTCCTCCGGCCTCGCCTCTCCTCCTCCAAGGCTGGGTGAAGTTCAAGTGTCTGCTCTAGAGGCACCCCATCT